CTAAAGTACCGGTGAGTAAAAGTGAGAAACAGTCATTGTTACCATATGGCAACACTACGGTGGCTGATAGGGTTTTGTGTTTGGTGTGGACGGTCTCTGGAGTCTTTAAAGGATACGGAGCAGACGGAAGGACCAGACATGCTGCATTATTGCACACAATATTTGAATGAGGGACACTCGTACGATGCAATCATGGACATGCTGTCAAGTTTACACAATATAAACATCAGCTTGCGGACTCTAAAAAGTAAACACAGGGTTGTACCGCAGAAAGCCATCACCATGACTACCACTCTGGAGCGTGCAGCCACATGTATGGCTCATCCACGATTAACCAGCGCATTGAGTCCTGGTGGTCCATATGTAGAAAGGGAAGGGAAGTGGCTTTCACAAAGTCATTTAATAATATATATATACACACAGACAAGCCCGAAGTTCTTCATACCGCTGGAACATTTGGACTTAACTTGGTAACATTCAAAACTGTTTTAAACTGTAAACATTGGTCACTTGTCAGCTTCATCAGCTTATTCCTTTTCAAAAAGGTAGATGACTTTTTAATGTTTGTTTTTTTTGTGCAACAATATTGTTTCTATTTAATGTTTGTCTGTTAGATGTTCTGTGAGTTGTTCTTGGAGGTCGTGTGAAATGTCAAATAAACGTCTCCCGATCGTGTCATTGGACAGAGGGACAGGTTTCAGTGTCTCAGCACTTTTCTCACCTATGATTGTGACCATGTCCAATGCTGCCGGAGTATTAGCTCCTCTGCTATCCTGTGAGCTTTTTGGCCCCTTGCGATGTGGCGGTGTTTGTACGAGGCTAACGGTGCTTTTTTATTTACTGATGCCTGTTGGAGATACTCATCGAGTTTTCTATGAAAAAAGTCCAGTGGCTTATTGACATAACTGGGGTGTAAGGTCTCCAGGTGTTTGCTTTCATGCTGTCCGCTGTCAGAGTTTTTAGGCATTAAACACACACAGGTCTTTCCTCAGAAACTCATGTGAGATGGTTAATATATTCTGGTCAGTGCGATGTACAAAACTGTGGCAAGCAGCTCTCAGCAACATCAACTAGAACTGCTTGACAATGTGTATATTCATTTAAGCTCATACATTTCCTACATTATTATTGTATATATACAGTAAATTCATTTAATCACTACTGTTCACTAAAGTATTCTGTCTTATTTGTATTTTGTTTTATTCATATATTTTAACTTGTGCACTAATTTAAGTCTTTTGTCTCTTTTATGTTTGTAATTTTCTTTTTAAACATTTTATATGGAATCACTGAAAAACACTAACTTTTGTGCTGATGGTAAGAACTTAAAGTTGATCTTTAATTTTCAGTTTCTTCCCTGTAGAGGGCGCTGCAACACAGTGAAGTGATGCAGTCACTTTACAAGCTGACTCTTTATTTTTCAAAATAAAGAGGATTTATGCAAATTAAATTTCTCAAAGTTTAAAGAGCGTTGAAGTCTTATTTTGAGTATTGACACTGAAATGAATGCACACATGAATGATACCTAAGGCACTATTGTACACTAATGAGTTAGGCACATATTACACATATTATTTCTGCCAACAGATCCTATTATAGTAGTTAGCTTGTTGATAAGTGAAGTAGCCTTTAGTCTGAGAGCCACAGAGTGAATCAGCTGCAGCTCCATCATCACCATCTTCTCCTGTTACTGAGGACGTCATCAGAGAAGTTGAACAACTCAAACTGAGTTATTACTGAACATGACTTTCTGTATTAAGACCAGGGAATCAGTTTGAGAGTGACAGCAGCTTCTAATCCTGTTTTCAGTTTAACTCTGGGGCTTCCTTTTTATTGTTCATGTATGGAATTTGCCTTTAAGGCTCTAAAGTTGAATTCTTCTGTGTTACAACAGACTGGACGAGCACTTGTTGGAAACTGATTCACTTTATTTGTGTGAATAAAACATGATCTTTCTCAGTGTGGGAGTCAGAGTCAGATGGCTTTCCACCTTTGTTTTATGCTCAGAGTCTAATGAAGACGTAAACAGCCAGACTGCAAACTGAGAAACTACAGTAAAGCTTTGATTGAATCCACACTTTGTTCAGGTTTTATCTTATTTCTGTTCCTCACAAGCAATATTCATCTGTTATAAAATGAGAAAAAGCTGATATTTGTGATAGTTATTGATTTATTTATTTGAAAATCAGGAGATCAATAAGCAACCAACACTTGAATCTTCTTGAGTCAGAAATAAAACTCTGGAGAATCCAAAGAAATAATCAAATGTGCTTCATTTACACCAACATGGAGATAATTTATATTTATAGAAGCTGGATTTTGGAGATTTATATCAATCAGAAGTAAGATGTGATTTCAATAAACAGATTTGTGTTTTTGATGCAATAATATAAACTTTCACAATATGAGAAAAGACAACAAATATATACATGCACATAATCTTAATTATTACCAATGACATGTAAGATTAGAGCTTATTTCATATTTTGCTGATTCATTTTATGTCAATAGAATAATATAACAAGGTATTAAAATGTTCTGGTGTTCAATGTGTAACCAATGTTCACTGACTTCTCACCAAAATCCAGATATTTCAGTAACTTTAAGTAACTCTGTTCAATATTTTTATAATAACAATGGATCAAATATCAAAATGAAAATAGATCAATATCACCAGACTTTGCAGTTCTTTAGTTCAGTTTCCTGCAATAACACAATCTGTTGGGATATATTAGAAAAATAGACTATTTTAAAAGATTGGAGGTATATAATATTGCACTAATATTAATGATTCCAAAATATATTGTGGAAATTAACTGCAACTCTCCATCGTCCCACAAGGTGCAAAGAAAGAAATCAATTGAATTAAGTTTCAATCTACAGTTGTGTTGACATTGTTTCTGACAGTGGAGCTGATCTCAGAGCAGTTCAGACTGCAGCACTGAGAGTCATCTCCACTGGTTGTGATTCCTCTGTCAGTCACTGCTGGATGAAGCTCTCCTCTCCACTCTACCTCCCAGTAACATGGCCCAGTCAGAGCTGATGCTGCTGCTTCAACCTCTCTGGATCATCAGGACACAGCTGATCCTCCAACACAACCTCCTTCCTCACCACTCACACTCTGACTGAGATCACGTCAATCTGAGGAGAGAAGAAGACAGACAACAGAAGTCATAAATCGTGTTTACAGAGACTCCCTCCATCAGCACATCCAGTATAAAGACCAGCAGGGACTTCAGTCCAGTTCAGACCAGAAGGTGAGTGGCTGTGTAGCGTAGCCTGCTTCCTTTCAGCTCTCATGTTAACGTATTGGAATGAACACACTGAGCTGAAGCTCACAGACCTGCAGAAACTTTGGACATCAAGTCTGTTGACTCTGCAGATTTCACTGAAGTACACAGTGGAAATAAAGTGCTGAGAGTCCCTGAATGCATCATTACTGCAGAAACAGAGAGGCATTCACTGCCCACTGTAATGATGGATTTACTACTGTTTGGGTTCAAAGCTGGTAAAAACCACAGTCTCAGTCACATTTGAACGTTTCATCTTTTGAAATATTACAGGACAGATCTGTAAATATGGAGTCTGTTTAAAATAATATAAAACATATTTGGACTAAACAAAAGACAAATGGACAGATATATATCTGATGTTAAAGGTCCTACATGTTCATACAGAGACTGAACAATAGCTGTGATTACTGGACTTCAGCAGAGGTTCTGGTCTTTACAAAGACCACATGGTCACTAAATATAATGATGGTTCTCTGAAATAAGATCCAGTGGTTTGCAGGCTTCAATCAGACTGATCTTAGAGCTGTGACAAAAATTAACTGATCAGTTGTTTAGTGTTGAAATGAGAGAACAAACACTGAGATCAGATTTGATGGTACGAGAGTTTGATGAATGAGGACCACTGTCTCTGTACATCTTGTAATGCTGTCAGCTGGAATCCAGCTTTATTTCCTGTAGACATGAACACAACAACAACAGTCGTCTTCACATCAACTCAAACACATGATCACAACAAGCTTCTGGCTCTCTGATTGGCTGACTGTTCTCTCTCTCTGTCTTTCTGTCCAACCCTGAAGTCTGTCACCATCCTCCTCTCACAGCTTCACTGAGGAAAGCAGCAAATACTGGATCTTTGCTTTGATACTAACTGTGTTTAGTACAATACTGCTGAAACCAGCATGGACTGACTCCAACCCTCTACTGACCTCAGAGTCTTCAGTCTACAGTGTGGACTCTTCACAAGATCAGACAGCAGCTTCACATCTGAATCCTGCAGATTGTTGTTATTCAGGTCCAGATCTCTCAGATGGGAGGGGTTGGACTTCAGAGCTGAGACCAGATAATCACAGCTGATCTCTGACAACCTGCAGCCCCTCAATCTGAATAAAGAATAAATTATTTAAGTTTAGAAGACAATGTACCTGCTTGAAATCATTCAGTGTTTAATAATCTGTTCAGAGCTGAAGAAGGTTTAGAATGTACAAGTTTAGAAAATGTGAACAAAAGACATCTACAATCATTATTTTAGGAATAGTGGAGTCAAGTTATCTTCAGTTTAAACTATTCAGTTAGTATAAACATCATAAAGCTTCATAACAATGTTGGAAACAGCAAATACTGAATATATTTGTTATTGTCTGATAGTTCAAATAGAGATTATTTATTTATTTATTTATTTATTGTATTTATGTATTTATTTTTTATTAACAAACATGTTATCGAATATAAGATGTAAATCAAGAGTTTAAGAGGTTCAGAGTGAATTATCCAGTGTAGATTCTTCTTGTTATATTCAGGTTTTAAATGTTGAGCTCAACATTGCTCTGCCACAGTCAATGGACTAAACCACTGAAGAAGAAAACAGAATTTAGCATTAAGATACTCAGTGTGGATCAGTATAATATCAGCCTTATGTCTGCACTTTACTGTCACCACAAATATCACATCATATTAATCTCAGCACAGAAGGAAAAAATGGTGTCTGACCTCAGAGTCTCCAGTCTACAGTGTGGACTCTCCAGAAAACCACACAGCAGCTTCACTCCTGAATCCTGCAGCTTGTTGTTACTCAGGTCCAGCTCCCTCAGATGGGAGGGGTTGGACTTTAGAGCTGATACCAGATGATCACAGCTGATCTTTGACGAACTGCAGCCACTCAATCTGAATAAAGAATAAAAGATGTAAGTTTAGAAGACAATGTTCCTGCTTGAAATCATTCAGTGTTTAATGATATTGAGATTTATATGGCAGGAAAAAGACCTTGAGTACGATATAAAACATTACAGCTACTGAAAGAAAGAGGAGGCTGGTGTTTACCATCACAGAAACATTATTATATCTCAAAACAGATGAGAGCATCAGCTCTCGGGGTTCGGAGAGCAGTGATAAAAGAACATACACTGAAAGAAGATATTAAAACCCTGAGTTGGTGTGCATATGATTCAGATCTCACACTAAATAAACTCAATGATAGATTCAAAGTTTGGATAAAGAAAGGTATAATATCTCTATGCATCATTATACAGAAAGATGAAATCATGTGTGTTCAAACATTAAGAGATAAATTTTCATTGTAAAATCAGGATTTCTAAAGATATCTTTAATTAAGAAATTACTATAATCAAAAAATAAAATACCAGAGAAGCCAGTAAGCCCTTTATGCAACTTCTCATAAATGTATATAAGTCAGATATTAAAAGAGGGTTCATCTCTCAACTGTATAAGAGCCTCCACAATCTAAAAGCTCATTCGACAAAATATAGAAAAGATAGATGGGAGAAGGAAGGAGACCTGACAATAACAGACAAAGAATGACAAGATATTTGTGTATTTCAATGGAAGAGTACAAAATCTCATGCTTGGAAAGAATTTATGGTTGAAGAAGAAAACAGACTTTAGCATTAAGATACTCAGTGTGGATCAGTATAATATCAGCCTTATGTCTGCACTTTACTGTCACCACAACTTTCACATCATATTAATCTCAGCACAGAAGGAAAAAATGGTGTCTGACCTCAGAGTCTCCAGTCTACAGTGTGGACTCTCCAGAAAACCACACAGCAGCTTCACTCCTGAATCCTGCAGCTTGTTGTTACTCAGGTCCAGATCTCTCAGATGGGAGGGGTTGGACTTCAGAGCTGAGACCAGATAATCACAGCTGATCTCTGACAAACCGCAGCCCCTCAATCTGAATAAAGAATAAAAGATGTAAGTTTAGAAGACAATGTTCCTGCTTGAAATCATTCAGTGTTTAATAATCTGTTCAGAGCTGAAGAAGGTTTAGAATGTACAAGTTTAGAAAATGTGAACAAAAGACATCTACAATATTTCTTTTAGGAATAGTGGAGTCATAAAATCAAATTATCTTCAGTTTAAACTATTCAGTCAGTATAAACATCATATAGCTTCATAACAATGTTGGAAACAGCAAATACTGAATATATTTGTTACTGTCTGATAGTTGAAATACAGATTATTTATTTCTTGATTGTATTTATCATTTTGTATTATAATGAAAAAAAGATTAAGCACTGATCAATAACATGCTGCTGATCTCAGTCAGGTCTGTAATTAGAGGATCAATACTATATTGATCCTTTAAACATCTGCATTTGGAAATTGTATTTGATCTTTGTATGTGTGTGTGTGTGTGTGTGTGTGTGTGTGTGTGTGTGTGTGTGTGTGTGTGTGTGTGTTCTGAAGGATCAATATCAATGATCAGACATTATTTATAAAAACACATTGAAATCAACAGAAACCAAAGAAATATTTCTCCTTCAGTAAACTTGATCAGTTTAAAACAAATATTAGTTCAGAGGATCTTCTGTATCCAGTTGTGACCATTTACCAACAATTATAAACATTCATTTACTTTAACAACTAACAGTGGACATTTTCTACAGTTTCATTAACAAACAGAAGTCTTTGTGACTGCAGACTAAATTTAGTTCAACAAACATTAAAATATGAACAAAAGCAAATTTACAACTTTATGGATGTAAGTTATGTATGAACATAAATTAAGTTCAGTTGTTAATTAAACATATCAGATCTACAACAGTAACAGAGAGTCAGTGAACTGACCTCAGAGTCTCCAGTCTACAGTGTGGACTCTCCAGAAAACCACACAGCAGCTTCACTCCTGAATCTTGCAGGTCGTTGTTATTCAGCTCCAGCTCTCTCAGATGGGAGGGGTTGGACTTCAGAGCTGAGACCAGATAATCACAGCTGATCTCTGACAAACTGCAGTTCCTCAATCTGAATAAAGAATGAATTCATGTCAACAGAGATCAATAACGTGCTGTCAGTCAGGTCTGTAATAATGATGAAATCAGACATGTTGTTATTCCATTTTCTTCTGTTTCTTCTGATTCATAACAACCATGTGTCATTTTCTGAATTATATTAAGACAGTTGTTTTCTATATAATTCCAAAAAGGCCAATATCAAATAAATAAGAATTTATAACAGAAATAATAATTTAAGTAAAAACAAACCTCTTTAAACCAGCAGTTCTGATGTATCTCACACATTTAGACTATCCTCATCACCACTGTCATCTCCATCAACACACACAGACTGTGAACTTCATCCTCAATCTTCTTTATAACTGGATCAAATGTGCACTGAGCAAAGAGAGCTGCATATTCTCTCTTAATCTTAAATGTAACCAAGTACCTTCCTGTACAAATACAGTGTATTATTTAGGGTCTTGGTCATATTTTATTATGCTTTGCTCAGTGTGGGTCAAAGTCACCAGACTGTGAACTATTACATTTGTATTCAACTTGAATTATAATCTTTTACATATTTTACAACCTTTTACATCAACTCTCTCCTCTGTGTCTCTGTCGCTGTGTGTGTGTGTGTGTGTGTGTGTGTGCAGTGTTTTTACTGGGGATCGGGTTAGAAACAAATCAAACAAAGATAAATTAGACAGATCAGATATACACTGTACAAGAGCAAAATACATGAACTGACCTCAGAGTCTCCAGTCTACAGTTTTTACTCTCCAGTCCAGCACACAACAGCTTCACTCCTGAATCCTGCAGGTCGTTGTTAGTCAGGTCCAGATCTCTCAGATGGGAGGGGTTGGACTTCAGAGCTGAGGCCACAACTTCACAGTGAGTCTCTGAGAGTCTACATGAGGAAAGTCTGTGATGACAGAATATAAATTTAAGTTTAATAAAATCTGACATTTTATTATAAAAGTAGACTTCTGTGCATTTTGCATCACAAAGTACATTAACATGAGCAACTGTAGCTTAGCTGGTCAGTCATTGATCACAAGGTCTGTGGTTTGAAACTTGAACTCCTCAAACAAACAAACAAACAAACATAAAGAACTCATCCTTCTGTTTTCATTACTGTAACTGATAATTAATAACTGTAATACTGTAAACCTTTAAACTGTGATATTTTCTGAGATGGTTATTGTACTGTGAAAATCTCACTAATGCAGCCCCAGATGAATCTTATTATGTTGCTCCAGCTGCTTTTAGTCTCCCATTGAATTAGTTCAATCAGCGGTCCCCAACCTTTTTCGCGCCACGGACCGGTTTCATGTAAGACAATATTTTCACGGACCGGCCTTCAAGGTGTGACGGATAAATACGACGAAATAAAATGATACGAACGGCATAAAAACAAATAATAATAATAATATAATAATAATAAAGTGCATAAAACTACAACTCGCCATTACGCTGAATTAGTGGGAGCCCTGAGCTTGTTTCTCCGCAACGAGCCGGTCCCATCTAGAGGTAATGGGAGACAATGACACCCGAAGTGTGTTCCTTGTGTCCAGTCTATTCCATAATTCTGTTTCGGTCTCTGTCACTGCAGAAAACCCCGCTTCACAAAGATAGGATGTTGGAAAGGGAAGCAGGGTTTTCAGTGCTTTTGTGGCGATCTCAGGATATTCTGCTTTGACTTTAATCCAGAACACCGGCAGAGTTGTTGTCTCAAACATAGTTTTAAGGCCACCGTCATTTTCAATCTCCAGCAGTTGATCTTCTTCTGGCACGGACAGGCTCGATTCACCTGGTTTTTTCACAAATGGATCTCGGATCCATTCTGTCGCAGTTCATGGGTCTTTTGTTGTTGGGAAGTACCGCTCGAACTCTTTTAAAAGCAAAGACAGGTGATCGTGCACCAGCTGGGAGAATGGCGGTTCAGGCTCAGTCTCTTCCAAAATCCCTGCTAATTGAAAGAAATCTCTGCAGCGGCTCTCGTAAGTCAAACACTCTGGCCAACGATCTCCCTTTAGATAGCCATCTTACTTCTGTGTGTAAGAGAAGGCGTCTGTACTCTGCGTCCATCTCCTCACAAAGCTGCTCGAACAGTCGAGTTAAGGGCATGTGCTTTGATGTGATTAATAACTTTAACGACATCATTCAATACGCTGTTAAGTTCAGGTGACATTTTTCACTGAGGTCAAGCAGCCGTCTCTCTGATCTCCGTGGTCAAATCAGCTGCACCTAAATGTCGAGTGTACAAGTAGCGTATTTACTACTGGTTTTCAAAATAAAGGTATTAAGAACAGTAAGCTATATATCCAACCTACATTTAAAATAAAATATGTTACATTAAAGTGTTTCATGCGCCCATGATGAATAAAAAACATACTTAATAACAAGTATCTTTACTGAACCAATGTGGAGAAATGCCAAAACAAAAGTTCCATATTTGTACCTCCAAGTGGCATCTTTTATTATATTTGAGCTACTGTAAAAACACTTTGCTCAATAATTCCTGGCTATGGATGGTATATTTGACTTCTACACATATCAAGCATTTTTACTGCACCAATGTGGAGAAATTCAACAATAAAATTCCATATTTGGCTTCATTGCCTCGTTTGTTAGCCTGTCGCCACATATTATGCAGAGCGGGTTTGGCGCGTGAGAATCACCTGTGGCGATAGGACTCCTGATATTGTCTTTTAAATGCAGCTTTCTTTTTCTTGGAAGTCGTAGGCTCTACTTCTCCCGTCTCCTCACTGGGCCTTTTCCCCTTTCCAAAGACGTTTGTTCTTTACTCATTTTTGCTATCACATGACCAAGATGTGCGTCTTTACCTGTCTTTACCTGTGTCAAGACGCACAGATGCACAGACAGATGTAATTGGGGGGGAATCCGGTCATTTTTCAAAATAAAACATCTTTCAGACTCTGACCATCAATAAAATATTTATTTATTTTTCTGTGCGGCCCGGTAGCAAATGACCCACGGACCGGTACCGGTCCGAGGCCCAGTTGTTGGGGACCGCTGAGTTAAATGACTCCTATTGTAATAATAGTATAATAAACCTTTTCCACAGGAGCCATTTTAATATAAATCAGGTGGGTAAACACAGGTGTTACCAATGACACTAATTAAGGTTCTGTTACATTCAGGTCAAACACAGTCAGGGTGCTGCTACTGTGCATCATGGCTAACTGGAAAGGCTCTGTTACACTAAATGAACCTTCATTAGTAAAGAAGCTCTCTCCTTTTCCCTCTCTCTCTCTGGTGGTATTTGAATGGACTCGTCTGTAAACTAAAACTAAAAAACTAAACTGTTAAGAACTAAACAATATAATCTTTACTCTAATGCTGATGGCTTCAACTTTATATTGATTTATAATGTTAATCACATCTGGACTTACTGAGCCTTTCTGCAGTTCCTCACAGCTGGAATCAGTCTCAGTCGTCCCTGGTCTGATGTGTTGTACTTCTTCAGGTCCAACTCATCCAGAACCTCCTCTGACATCTGCAGCATGTAGGCCAGAGCTGAGCAGTGGATCTCAGAGAGTTTCTTCTCTGATCTGTTCTCTGACTTCAGGAACTCTTGGATCTCCTGATGGACTGAGTGGTCGTTCATCTCCATCAGACAGTGGAAGATGTTGATGCTTCTGTCAGGAGAGATATCATCACTGTTCATCTCCTTCAGGTTGTTGATGGCTCTCTGGATGATTTCTGGACTGTTGTCTGTCTGACCCAGCAGGCCTCCTAAGAGTCTCTGGTTGGACTTCAGAGAGAGGCCATGAAGGAAGCGAACAAACAGGTCCAGGTGGCCATTTTTACTTTTGAGGGATTTCTCCATGGCTTTCCTCAGAAAGGCATCCAGAAATAGGCCTGTTTGAAGATAAAGTTTGTATTTGTACCGCCAGTCTTCCCCCAGGAAGTCCTTCACCACGTCTATGTCCCTGTTGGTGTAACAGTGGAACATGTAGACTGCAGCCAGAAACTCCTGAATGCTCAGATGAACAAAGCAGTAGATTGTTTTCTGGAAGATCACACTCTCTCTTTTGAAGATCTCTGTACAAACTCCTGAGTATACCGAGGCCTCTGTGACATCAAGACCACACTGCTCCAGGTCTTCTTGGTAGAACATGATGTTTCCTTTCTCCAGCTGTTCAAACGCCAGCCTCCCCAGCTTCAGAAGAACTTCCCTGTCAGCCTCCATCAGCTCCTGTGGACTCTTCTTATGTCCCTCATCATACTTCTGCTTCTTCCTCTTTGTCTGAACCAGCAGGAAGTGTGAGTACATGTCAGTCAGGGTCTTGGGCAGCTCTCCTCTCTGGTCTGTAGTCAACATGTGGTCCAGAACTGTAGCAGTGATCCAGCAGAAGACTGGGATTAGACACATGATGTGGAGGCTCCTGGAGGTCTTGATGTGTGAGATGATTCTGTTGGACAGATCTTCATCACTGACTCTCCTCCTGAAGTACTCCTCCTTCTGGGCGTCAGTGAAGCCTCGTACTTCTGTTACCCTGTCAACACATTCAGGAGGGATCTGATTGGCTGCTGCAGGTCTGGAAGTTATCCAGACGAGAGCAGAGGGAAGCAGATTCCCCTTGATGAGGTTTGTCAACAGCACGTTGACTGAAGACTTCTGTGTGACGTCAGACACAACCTCATTGTTGTGGAAATCCAGTGAAAGTCTGCTTTCATCCAGGCCGTCAAAGATGAACAAAAGTTTACAGACAGCGAGCTGCTCTGCTGTGACCTTCTGTAATGTTGGATGGAAAACATGGAGCAGCGTGAGAAGACTGTACTGCTCATCTTTGATCAGGTTCAGCTCCCTGAACGAAAGCAGAACCACCAGACTGACATCTTGGTTTTCCAAGCCCTCTGCCCAGTCCAGAGTGAACTTCTGAACTGAGAAGGTTTTTCCAACGCCAGCGACACCGTTCGTCAGAACCACTCTGATGTGTCTCTGTTGGTCAGGTAAGGCTTTAAAGATCTCGTGGCACTTGATTGGAGTGTCATGGAGGGTCTTCTTCTTGGAAGCTGTCTCAAGCTGCCTCACCTCATGTTGGGTATTAACCTCTTCACTCTGTCCCTCTGTGATGTAGAGCTCAGTGTAGATCGTGTTGAGAAGGGTTCCACTTCCTGTTTCATCAGTTCCTTCAGTCACATGTTTACATCTCGTCTGCAGACTGATCTTATGTTCATCTAAAACCTCCTGCAGACCACCACTCACTAAACAAAACAAAGAAGATTCGACAATCTGCTAAATATTTTCATTACCAATAAAAAGACCAATGTACAAATATAAACAGAAGTAAACTTTATAAAGTCCAGTTTTGAGGGAACATCAGAAAATGTAATTTTTTCTCTGACTGTGTGTCGGTGTACGTGTTTGATTGACAGCAGAGGCAACAGGCTGAGCCTCAGCAGCTCATTATCTAAACTCGCCCTGGATAAGAATGTAATATTTTAAATAAAACTACATGTTGTTTCTAGATCAGCAACTGTAATGTTTACAACAGCAACATCACTATAAGATCTGAATAATATCTCACTGTAAACAAACCTCAAATGTCAATAAAAATAAATAATATTCCTGACATCAAAATACTGAATGAAGGTTAGAGTATCTGTCATTCATTCTGACTGATGTGAGACGGTCCTGGTTTGTCTCAGCCAGCATTTTGGTAGCAATTCACTATTATCTGAGCTCGCTGTGCTTGTGTAAAACAAAGAGGAGGTGGATGAGAGAATGGGAACCAGATTTTCACTCATGTCACAAAAACCTCTGTGCCACATGTAAGTTAGCACAATATGCTGAAGGATTTTAAGTTACTCACTGTGTAGTTATGTTCATTATTACACACTGTTTCTGAGTGATAATTTTAGCTCAGAGCCTGTTCCTCACCCAGGAGGATCTTGTCATCTCGTGCCTAAACTACTGCAACTCACTCCTGTCTTCCTGCATGTGCCATCTGACCTCTGCAGCTCATTCAGAATGCAGCAGCTCAGCTGGTCTTCAACCTACTGAAGTTCTCCCACACTACACTGCTCCTCCACACCCTGCACTGCCTACTGGTGGCTGATTGAATCCACATGGTTCATGCCTACTGTGCTGCCAATGGTTCAGACTCATCCTACATCCAGGACAAGTAGCACTTGAAGATGTTCAGCTTATTTGATAAAGTTGATGTAGTTACATTGTAAGAAAGCCCTACAGGTCAAGGTCCAACAGCACCCTCTACTGGTGCAAAGACAACTAGCAGTGAACAAGTCAGGACATGCCCAGTCACACTGAAAAGCAGCAAACCAGTCCCTGAGGAGACCATGAAGCTGCATGGACTTTCTGTGTGTTTCCCTAATGATGTGTGCGTTCTTGAGGAAATGTAAGTAGTTTCTGCTTGTATTTATGGATAATTTGATCACTTTTGCGGTTTGTGTTATTTTACATGGAAATATGGTGTGTGAGTTTGAGGGTCCGTGTATGTTTTGGTCATTGGATTTTCCTTTCAGAAACGGGAATTAAAAAACAGAAAACGAGTGGTTATTTGATTTTCGTTTTAAAATACAAAAAATTAAAATTGAAATACAAGGCGTTTTTCTTTTTCATGGTCAGAAAGGGATGAGCGAAATTAAAAAAATGATTCGATTTTCATTTTCTATTTCATATAACAAAAAATAAAATCACTAGAAAACAGAAACAGAAAAAAGGCCTGTTTTTTCATATTCTGAGACCGGATGTTGTCATTTACAGGACCGTGCTGTGTAGAAGAAACAGTAGACTAGTAGACTGCGGTCAATCCAGCCGTGAGTCCGATCTCCGTGGTCAAATCAGCCGCACTTAAATTTAGTGTACAAGTATTCTCAGCATTATGGTAAATGCGGAGAAACAGCGTATTTACTTCCGGTTTTCAAAATAAAGGTATTTAGAACAGTAAGCTATAATTAAAATATGTTACATTAAAGTGTTTCATGCGCCCCTGGTGAATAAAAAAACACTTTATATCAAGTATCTTTACTGCACCACTGTGGAGAAATGCCAAAATAAAAGTCTCATATTTATGCCTCCAGAGAGCATATTTGACCATATTTGAGGTACTGTAAAAACATATTGCTCAGTGTTTCCTGGCTACTGATGGTATATTTGACTTTTACACATATAATACTACAAGCATACTTAATATCAAGCATTTTTACTGTACCAATTTGGAGAAATTCAACAATAAAAGTCCCATATGTATACCTCCAAGTGGCATATTTTCATATATTTGAGCTACTGTAAAAACACTTGGCTCAATAATTCCTGGCTATGGATGGTATATCTTACTTCTACACATCTAAGACTACAAGTATACTTAATATCAAGCATTTTTACTGTACCAATGTGGAGAAATTAAAGAATTAAAGTCCCATATTTATACCTCCAGATTCCATATTTTCTTATATTTGAGCTACTGTAAAAATATAAACTGCATGTGGAACCACCTGCAACAGCTGTCACACTAAATAATATAAAAAATAATATGTGAGGAAGAGACAGTAGGTACAATGGTGTTTTGAAGTTAAAACTAATTCTTTTTCCCTTTTACCTACAAATTGACACAGCAGAGCAGCAAAATAAGAAGAATGTGGACTGGCATTGCATTTTGTGTGAAAAGTAAACAAATTAGAATTGTGTAGGATTTTGTGCTTCGTGTTTAGTGTTTATATTATCAAGATGTTATTAAACATTTGTGTGAAATTTTGTCATGCATTACTGCAGCATTATTGAAGTATAATGAAAATGCTTCACCCATAGCCTGGAAATATTGAGCAATATGTTTTTACAGTAGCTCAAAAATAAGAAAATATGCCACATGGAGGTACAAATATGGACTTTCATTGTTGAATTTCTCCAAATTGGTACAATAAAAATGCTTGATATTAAGTATACTTGTAGTCTTAGATGTGTAGAAGTCAAATATACCATCAGTAGCCAGGAAACACTGAGCAATATGTTTTTACCTCAAATATGGTCAAATATGCAATCTCTGGAGGCATAAATATGAGACCTTTATTTTGGCATTTCTCCACAGTGGTGCAGTAAAGATACTTGATATAAAGTGTTTTTTTATTCACCAGGGGCACACAACACTTTAATGTAACAAATTTTAATTATAGCTTACTGTTCTAAATACCTTTATTTTGAAAGCCGGCGGTAAATACGCTGTTTCTCCGCATTTACCATAATGCTGAGAATACTTGTACACTAAATTTAAGTGCGGCTGATTTGACCACGGAGATCGGACTCACGGCTGGATTGACCGCAGTCTACTAGTCTACTGTTTCTTCTACACAGCACGGTCCTGTTAATGACAACATCCGGTCTCAGAATATGAAACAACAGGCCTTTTTTCTGTTTCTGTTTTCTAGTGATTTTATTTTTTGTTATATGAAATAGAAAATGAAAATCGAATATTTTTTAAATTTCGCTCATCCCTTTCTGACCATGAAAAAGAAAAACGCCTTGTATTTCAATTTTAATTTTTTGTATTTTAAAACGAAAATCAAATAACCACTCGTTTTCTGTTTTTTAATTCCCGTTTCTGAAAGGAACATCCAATGACCAAAACATACACGGACCTTTGAGTTAACTACTTTTGGATTGTGAGGACTTAATGATGAATATTTAATTTGTAATGCTAATATTGCAACTCAGTCTATTTGTTGTGATTGTGACCATGCTTATTGTTATTAGCGTTTAAAGGTCGAATTAAATCCGTGTATCATTCGTTCTTTTCATATTCAATTGAGATTCCAAAATCGGAAAATGAAAAAACGGTTTGTTATTTCCTTAATTGTTTATGAATCTGATACCAAAAAACAAATAACGGTTCATTTTTTGTACTTTCGATTTATTGCTCAGATCAAACATAGGAAATGAAATAACGGACCACGGATCGATTTCGATTTTGATATTTAATGTTTTCGCTTTGTGTGAACCGGAAGTTATTGTCTTCTTCGTGTGTTGCACTTGGAAGTTTGCAGCAGTTTCGCAAACCCTGAAAAAAGTCAATCCTGCAGTGATTGTACTCTGTATTTAAGGACTTATTGTACTCTGTATTTAAGGACTTATTGTACTCTGTATTTAAGGACTTATTGTACTCTGTATTTAAGGACTTATTGTACTCTGTATTTAAGGACTTATTAAGGACTTATTAAGGACTTATTTGAAACTGGCAAGACACATGTAGAGATTTCTACTCGGCTGCAGCAGATGGAGATCCAGTGATGTTCTGACAGTCACCGTTTAGTTCCTCTGAACAATCACAATCAGACACTTTAATAATCCCAGGGGGAATTACTTTCGTTACATGCTCCATATGAATTAGACATAAATATATTAAGAATATACATATAATATAATATAAAGTCACACAGTGTAAAGTGGTCGCAGGCTTCCTCTTCAGCAGAGGCTCATAGCAGATGTTGGGTTTGCAGAGGGATGTACGACAACGATGATGTCGTGCAGGATCTCTCTCGGTAGATGATATGGAGTCCAACGGCAGCTGTTCGCTCCCGGTACAACCCCGGTCCGCCCGGACGGTGTGGAAGCGACAGATACGGTCCGGTCCGTAATGTCCCTGTGCAGCCCTGTCTCAGTGACACACATCAGACTCCCGGTACGGTGCGGGGCTGCGCGTTAATGCCGTCAGTTCGTACATTCCGTTGCTAGGAGACCGCACATCACCATAACAACAGAGGGGAGACTCTGCTTCAATCTTCTCTTTCTCCATAAACCCGTCCCGTCTCCACCCTCCTCTCTTCCCCCGACGTTACTTCCCTCCTCTTCATCCCCGGTGTGTTTCCTCCAGAGTTCAGCTGGTAGATCAGCTGTTCTGTCCACCGTACCGACCGGCATTAGATCAGCTGTTCTGTCCACCGTACCGACCGGCATTAGATCAGCTGTTCTGTCCACCGTACCGACCGGCATTAGATCAGCTGTTCTGTCCACCGTACCGACCGGCATTAGATCAGCTGTTCTTTGGAGTAAACAACGGCAGCTGTCCCGGTGGAAGCGACATTAAAACACGAAAATGAACACAAAAACTCTCTCAAACAACCTCGTTAGAGAGGACAGGACTTCAGAGAGTGAAAAAATAAGAACGAACAAAAAGAGAATAAAAGTTAAGAAGTTAGAAAGCAGACTGGAGTAACAGGCAGCATGCAGCTTTTCGCCCACGCGCCAGGAAGATGAAGATGAAGATGAATGAAAAGATGAAACTCTCCATCATTGATCCTCAGTTTTGAAGACTAACGTTAGTTAAACTGAAGAAGTGAATCAAGCTAACGAGACAATAACTTCCGGTTCACACAAAGCGAAAACATTAAATATCAAAATCGAAATCGATCCGTGGTCCGTTATTTCATTTCCTATGTTTGATCTGAGCAATAAATCGAAAGTACAAAAAATGAACCGTTATTTGTTTTTTGGTATCAGATTCATAAACAATTAAGGAAATAACAAACCGTTTTTTTCATTTTCCGGTTTTGGAATCTCAATTGAATATGAAAAGAACGAATGATACACGGATTTAATTGGTCCGTGTATGTTTTGGTCATTGGATGTTCCTTTCAGAAACGGGAATTAAAAAAGAGAAAACGAGTGGTTATTTGATTTTCGTTTTAAAATACAAAAATTAAAATTGAAATACAAGGCGTTTTCTATTTCATGGTCAGAAAGGGATGAGCGAAATTAAAAAAAATATTCGATTTTCATTTTCTATTTCATATAATAAAAAATAAAATCACTAGAAAACAGAAACGGAAAAAAGGCCTGTTAATTCATATTCTGAGACCGGATGTTGTCATTTACAGGACGGTGCTGTGGAGAAGAAACAGTAGGCTAGTAGACTGCGGTCAATTATTATTATTTAGAGATGTTTATTTGATTTGATCTGCTGACTAACATGTCGAGCATTGTTGTAATACACTTTATTTCTTTTCTTTATTTTCAGACCACACACAAACACAGCCACTTACGTTGTACAGCAATGTTAAAGTCCAAAACCCTCATTAAAAGAAGTCAAATCAGATCTCTCTCTCCAAGTGCCTTGATTGTCTGACCAGAATCATAGTCCATAATCTGCCGCCTCAACCAGCAATCCTTTTACAGAGGCTTGCCCTCAAACAACATGATTCATGCAGTTTTTTTTGTTGTATCCACATGGTTGAATGTATTTATTGTAATGAAATGTAGCAGATTATGTTTTTAAGATGTACAGTCTTACTTTGTACAGTGCTGGTCTGACTGGCTGTCTGCAGTCCAGCTCTTGTTCTGGATCTTTCTCCACACTGGGGACAGGAGGAGTCTCCTGATGAAGCAGACTGGTCCCAGTATGAGGTGATGCACTGTCTGCAGAACCAGTGTCCACAGCTGGTAGAGACTGGATCCTTCAGGACGTCCTGACACGAAACACAGCAGGACAGCTGCTCCTCCACAGAAACATGACTCCTCTTCCTCTCTCTGTGAAGACATTTCTTTATTACTAAAATAATTTGTTGATTGTAGATGAAAAATACTGAGATTTGTCCGACACTGTCTGGAAGCTCAGATGGTCACAGAGAACATTAAAAGTGTTGTTAACTTTTCTGTTTGAATTCAGCATTCAGTCTGTAATGAAAATGATTCCTTTTATTTCAACTCTCCTGCTTTCATAAACACTGAGTGCTTTTCCTATCTGTCTGTCTTATTAAACATTTATTGATCTGCCTGTAGTTTGTTATTAATACAAACTCAACACTTCCTGCAGCTGCTTCACAATAAAAGCCTTCCATTAAAGAGAGCTGATTATGTCCTTCACTGTTCTACAGTCACTTTGGGCAGATTAGCTTGTGTTAGTTTAAACTGAGGTTAGAAGTGCTCTAAATAATTATGATAGACCAGCAGTTTACTGTAAGACACATAGCACGTAACAGTGGTGTCACAGGTTCAACTACAAACTGTTTATTTGTTTGTTTTTCATTCCTTTTATGTTTCCTGTCACTCTATATTGTCAACTATCAAATGAAGGAATATATCCAGTTCAAATATTCTTAAAAAAGAAGTCTCCAAATCTACATTTGACATTTTCTGTCCCTGTTTTTAAATCTGCAGATAACTTTTACATAAATAAATGGATGTTTGTTTCTTCATCTTTAGAAACAATATATTTAATTACACATTAGAAACAGATTCTTTCAGATAATAGTTACAAATATTTACAGCGACTTCAACATCAGAGCAAAAATATATGAATATTATTATATTATATATGAAATATAAACTCTGAAACTGAGGTTCTCAAGTGTTTTGTTAAAGAAATAAAATAAGATACATTTTAGTTTGAAACAGTGTCTGCACTAATAGTTCTGTATCATGAAAATAAATCTATTTTGTCTTCATGCTCAATGAATCATCTTCCATCAGGTCAGTTTACAGTAAAAACAGTTTCTTACTTTGTGTCTGAGGGTCCAGGTTCATTACTGAAGTCTGGATCCCAATGTTTGGACCAATCACTCTTCATAGACAGACAGCTGGACACTGGAGACTCTGCTCTCTGTCTGTTGTACTGAACTCTGTAAACACCAAGATGGTTTTATTCACATGAATCCTTTGTTTTTGAATATAAGTGAAATTAATGAGTTAGTGTCAGTTCTCTTACTTTGTGTCTGAGGGTCCAGATTCATTACTGAAGTTCAGAGGCTGACCTTTGTACCGATCACTCTTCATAGACAGACAGCTGGACACTGAAGACTCTGCTCTGTCCTCCTCTTCCTCCACACAAACACTCATCTTCTGCATTCAGTCAGTCTGAGAGATAAAATATTAACAGACTGAGCTCAGAGCACAAGAAAAAGGAAAAACAGGTTTGTTCAAAAGTCATATGCAAGGTTGAGCGAACAAGAAGTAACACACACACACACACACACACTCACACACACACACACACACACACACACACACACACACACACACACACACACACAGTACTCTGTATAGTATATAGAGTATACAGTATAATATAGAACTCCACCTGGTCACTTTCTTTAACCCTGTACTTGTTTTCTTGGGTTACAGTAGCTTTAATCTGTATTATTCAGTCAATCACAACTTTGTATCCACAGATGAATCAAACTGTTGAGTTCATTCTAACATTTCTGTCCTCTACAGTCCACAGGAAGAAAACTGACTCAGAGACTTTGACAGTAAAATAATAATAATGTTGTATTAACACTCACCCTGCCTCAGCCTTCAGTTTCCCTCCTTCTGCTCTGTCGACTCAAAATGGAGACTGAACCAACTCAACACTTTCACTTTCAGGGTTTCCTCCCTGGTGTTATGTTAGCTACCTGGTCAGCTCCTCCCCTCTCTATTTACAGGAACTCAGTGTGTGTGTGTGTCATTTTGTATTATAATGTAAAAAAGAAAAAGCACTGATCAATAACATGCTGCTGATCTCAGTCAGGTCTGTAATTAGAGGAATTATTGAACCTTTAAACAGCTGCATTTGGAAATTTTCTTTGATCTGTGTGTGTGTGTGTGTGTGTGTGTGTGTGTGTGTGTGTGTGTGTGTGTGTGTGTGTGTGTGTGTGTGGTGCTCACACAGATAAACTGTTCAACATGATGTGTTCATGAGCGTCTCTCTTGGCTTGAAAAGACAATGAAATTGAGTTTTGATCAAAATGTTGGTACTTAAATGATGTTTAAATAAAATGTTGTGTTTAAGTTACAACTAAAGTGCTGTAAAATAAATTAAATAAATGTTTTCTTTTACAGACTTATAGGGAACCCAAACAGATCATATCAGTACAGAGGCCCCTCATTTCTAATTGACACTTTTTGGGGCTGATACAGAGATGGAGACTTTAAGGGCTGGGCATCTCGGTGCATATAACACTTGAAAATATTTGTTCATTAAATCAAACACGAATCTCCATCAGCTGTCATAACTTTACTGTGTGTAGTTAAGTATTAATATCAGAGTGTTATTGTACTGTATAATTCCCTAATGATATCTGAGAATCTTGCTCAAAACAATTATGTAATTTTGTACTGATTAAAATAAAAGTAAAGTGTTCATTTGGTACAAATCCAATTAACTGCTAATGTTATCCAGTCTTTTAGTTCTTTCACAGCAATAATGTGAAATTTGTCAACAGGCAAGAACTCAGTTCAACATATACAGAGAATATAATTTTCAATAATAAATTAATAATGAATGATTATTTATTTTGGTTTAAATTAAGCATTTCTCTATTCCCAATTACAATAATACCAAATCAGATCGCTCTATCCAAAATATTTAACTACAGACTAAAATACCAAAGTTACTACAACACCTGAACGCACCACAAGAAGATCAGCTATAACAAAGCAGGCTGCAGGAAATACTGTTCATGTGTACTAATAAACCATTTCTGTGATAGAACAGTAAATATGTGTGTGCAGGCAGCCTTTCACACTGTTGTTCAATCAAACCTCAACATTACTGGGCAGCTGGTGGAGCTACAATCAAGAGAAGATGGCCGCACACTGAACTCCACTGATTTTATTACCAACGTTTGGACCACACTCGGTCCTCGCCTTGACAAAGTTTAGTGTTCGCTCATCTTCTCTACAGGTAGAATATCTACCTGTTTGGCCAAACATATATTTTGGGGTTCCACACATGATATAAAATCCTCATGAACCCCCGACCAAGCAGGTGTTACTTTTCATCTTCTAAATCAACCTTCATTAAAGTATTTCACTCCTTAGTTTCTCTGCTTCTCCTCTCCACTCTCTGCTCGTCGCTATGGCAACAAACGGCAGCGAGAAGTTGATGAGAATTTCTTACATCCATAATTTTAACTGTTTCCATTAAAGTTAAACAGTTATTAAATGATTCTTACATGAGTGCATTTTAATGAATGAACTTATTAATGCATTTTAATCAGTTACTTCTATTTGTCACATTTAAATGTGGGTAAACACTCTTATAACCTACTTTTTTTATTCCTTTCTCTGGAAAGTGTGTCCAAAGGTTTGACTGTCACTGTTCATAACATGCTGTAATCTTGCATAAAACAATAAATAAAGCCAATTCTGTGTATTTGATTAAGGAAGTAAAGATTGTTTCAAAACACTGCAGAGACGTTAATGATCATTAACCATTAGTATAGTACACATCTAACCCTATGCATACCATTTGCATTGTAGACCAAGAACCAATGTCCTTCTGGTCTATCTTTCAGATGTTTCTGATATATATAGATATATAACGTTGCAATTGTATAAAACGACCAAGGCAACTTACCTGGCCGTGTTTCTTTTCTTGTTTGTATCTTCCTTTCGGCCCACAGTTAAAAGACCACAGTTGTGACAGTTTAACTGCTGGTTGAATGAACTGGTGATATTCCCGAGCATTGCTGCAGATTTGTACACTAGAAATACTGACTGAATTTACTTCTTTTCATCATTTTAATCAACCAGAATGAAATCCTTAACACTGTCAACACTCCAGTTCTGATGTCAAATAAGATTAAAGGAAACATACAGTCTGCAGTTTAACGCAGTGTGGAGTGAGCCCAGATCAACTGGTGACACTTAACAACATTTTACCATCGATCATGTCGCGTCTACACTTTTATCTCACCAATCACAATGATATTATACACACAACAGCACACTCTTTCATCCAAATTAGTGTCAAATCTCATTTTGCAGTAAGAACAGAAATTGGATAAAGTTAAAACTTTAATCAGTAGAGGGTCTACACTATACAAATCCGATTCACATTCACAACTTTGTGGGATTTTGAATAGATGGGACAGAGATTATAAGATGTGATATAATTGTGGTATTATATATAGAAACAGTCAGTATATGTTTAATACCATGTTGAAGTAGAGTTGTGGCAAAGCATTATATGAGCAGATTAACTTGTGATGCAACGTCTGTCTACCATTGATCACGTTTCATATTAAAGTTTACAGACTTTTATCTTTTATTTATATTCTGTACATGTCAGCAAAGTCTTTCAACCAAATTACATATTGTAACTCATTTTGCAAATAGGAGCAGAAGTTGGATGCCCAGCTGAACACAACTTATTCAGATCCAGAGTTGTGACATGTGCAGCAAACATGTGGACTAAACTGCTGAATCTTGTAGACTGTTGGGATGAGTGAGCGAAACGTCTAGATTTGAATATTAAACTCGATCGACAGTAAATACAGATAGTGTAGCATGAATGAATGTGCACTCTGCCACAGCTGACAAAGTTCTCCACACTGCTTGGAGCGTAAACTCAGACTGATTCATTTATAGGCTGGATGTAATTACACACATTAAAAACAACTATGACACAAGATCGATAACATGAGGATTTTGGACGTTTTATTGACGTTTGCAATGTTTTGTCACATACATTGCCATTCCCTATAGTCCTCGCTTTATACAGTTAACAGATTTGTCTGGAAAATGCAGGAGAACCTACTGGTTCCAGAGGAATACATAAATATTCATTATGGAGACGTTTTTGTGAGGAGCAGACACCAACATTATTGTTCCAGCAAAGTGTTTCTATTGCAGTGTTTAAATGTCAAATGAATGAATGTCATAGAAGTAGTCAGAATCTTTATTTCCTGGTTCGGCCATAAGGGGTCCTCAAAAGCCTCAGTATCACCAGTTAAACTGTCACACCTGTGAGACTAACAGCTACAACTGCTAGTGAAACACAGACACAAGCATTGTAGCAATTAACTTTAAACGTCTTAAAAACATTATTGTGTTTTAGAAAGTGTTTTTATATATGTAACACGATCATCAACTTCATGTTTAAGTTCTTAATGTACAAAAATTACAGTAATGCAGTATTTGACAATGATATTCTGTGTTCTAAATTCAACATTTCACATACAAAATGTGTAAAAAGAAAATCACAAACATAAAAAAAATGAGACAAACGTAAATGAGAATGAACTTAATAAAATATTAATAGTTTTCAAACATTAAATTACAGATTAAACCTAAACATTCTGGTTTATGCATCAAATAAATCAGTGTTATCTATGTTACAGTCGCTGGTAATACACTGCAACTCAATTACTGGCCACAAGAGGGCGCTGTTGACCCCATAATTATAATGTGGTCAACAGCGCCCTCTTGTGGCCAAATAACAGAACTGCAGTTAAAACAATGTAAACAGAAAACAGCAGTTTCCTACTTCAACACTGAATCTAATCCAGCTGCAGCAGTTTACCAACATTAAAAACTCCTGCAGGGGAAATATGAGGAGAAAATAAAATGTCAAAGCTTCCTGTTTCACAGCTGAACTTGATATTAATGTTGATGATATTAAAAAAATCCCCCACTTAGACCTGACATTAAAACTGTTGTATTAACCCTCTACTGCATTAATTATTACTTAAACATGATGGAAATGTTTTAATGCGTTTTTATTACTTAAAATGGTTTAAATAATGGAAATATTTGATATATTTATTTAAATGTATTTTTGCTAAAAACATAATACCTACATGTTACCATTTTACAAAAAGCCAACCACATCTAAACTGATTTTTAATGATGAGAATTAAAAGTTAACTTTCTCCAGATAGTATTTGAATTTTTCTCTTGAAGGAATTTTGCAGAAATATTGAACAGTTGGTTAACTTTTGGGGCCCTCAGATATTCTCAGTGTCACTTGTCCATGGAAAAAGGAATGACAAACAGGATTTCATGGTCACATGATGTGATGTGTATTTATACTTTCAAAGTAAAAGAGCCTCTTTTCACAATAAAACTAAAGTACCGGTGAGTAAAAGTGAGAAACAGTCATTGTTACCATATGGCAACACTACGGTGGCTGATAGGGTTTTGTGTTTGGTGTGGACGGTCTCTGGAGTCTTTAAAGGATACGGAGCAGACGGAAGGACCAGACATGCTGCATTATTGCACACAATATTTGAATGAGGGACACTCGTACGATGCAATCATGGACATGCTGTCAAGTTTACACAATATAAACATCAGCTTGCGGACTCTAAAAAGTAAACACAGGGTTGTACCGCAGAAAGCCATCACCATGACTACCACTCTGGAGCGTGCAGCCACATGTATGGCTCATCCACGATTAACCAGCGCATTGAGTCCTGGTGGTCCATATGTAGAAAGGGAAGGGAAGTGGCTTTCACAAAGTCATTTAATAATATATATATACACACAGACAAGCCCGAAGTTCTTCATACCGCTGGAACATTTGGACTTAACTTGGTAACATTCAAAACTGTTTTAAACTGTAAACATTGGTCACTTGTCAGCTTCATCAGCTTATTCCTTTTCAAAAAGGTAGATGACTTTTTAATGTTTGTTTTTTTTGTGCAACAATATTGTTTCTATTTAATGTTTGTCTGTTAGATGTTCTGTGAGTTGTTCTTGGAGGTCGTGTGAAATGTCAAATAAACGTCTCCCGATCGTGTCATTGGACAGAGGGACAGGTTTCAGTGTCTCAGCACTTTTCTCACCTATGATTGTGACCATGTCCAATGCTGCCGGAGTATTAGCTCCTCTGCTATCCTGTGAGCTTTTGGCCCCTTGCGATGTGGCGGTGTTTGTACGAGGCTAACGGTGCTTTTTTATTTACTGATGCCTGTTGGAGATACTCATCGAGTTTTCTATGAAAAAAGTCCAGTGGCTTATTGACATAACTGGGGTGTAAGGTCTCCAGGTGTTTGCTTTCATGCTGTCCGCTGTCAGAGTTTTTAGGCATTAAACACACACAGGTCTTTCCTCATTTCCGACCGTATTCACGGTAAACCCAAAGGCTGTGTAGGCTTCATCGTATTTCCTGCTCTTATTAGGTTTATGCCGGTTACCGTCACTTGCTGTTCTTTCCTCTGACGTCTCCTCCGTTTTTCTTTTCACTCCTGTCAGAAACTTCTCCATCTCTCCTCCTCCGTCAGTCCCCCTGCCTCTCACTGTTGAGACACCTCACTGCCCCCCCACTATTTGAGAAGTACTGGATTAATGTGAGCAAATCCTCAGAAACTCATGTGAGATGGTTAATATATTCTGGTCAGTGCGATGTACAAAACTGTGGCAAGCAGCTCTCAGCAACATCAACTAGAACTGCTTGACAATGTGTATATTCATTTAAGCTCATACATTTCCTACATTATTATTGTATATATACAGTAAATTCATTTAATCACTACTGTTCACTAAAGTATTCAGTTTTATATGTATTTTGTTTTATTCATATATTTTAACTTGTGCACTAATTTAAGTCTTTTGTCTCTTTTATGTTTGTCATTTTCTTTTTAAACATTTTATATGGAATCACTGAAAAACACTAACTTTTGTGCTGATGGTAAGAACTTAAAGTTGATCTTTAATGTTCAGTTTCTTCCCTGTAGAGGGCGCTGCAACACAGTGAAGTGATGCAGTCACTTTACAAGCTGACTGTGAAATTCTGTCACTGCTGAGTTTATATAAACACTTTAAACTTGCTGTAAATATCTGACAGACATTAAATACTTTTTATTCACCTGATCCTTTAATATCTTCCTATAACTCGCACCAGTAAATTCTGCTTCTGCAAACTTCTTGATTTTTCAAAATAAAAAGGATTTCTGCAAATGAAATTTCTCAAAGTTTAAAGAGTGTTGAAGTCTTATTTTGAGTATTGAGACTGAATTGAAAACAGAATTTGATGCACACATGAATTATACTTAAGGCACTATTATACACTAATGAGTTAGGCACATATTATATATATATTTCTGCCAACAGATCCTATTATAGTAGTTAGCTTTTTAATAAGTGAAGTAGCCTTTAGTCTGAGAGCCACAGAGTGAATCAGCTGCAGCTCCATCATCACCATCTTCTCCTGTTACTGAGGACGTCATCAGAGAAGTTGAACAACTCAAACTGAGTTATTACTGAACATGACTTCCTGTATTAAGACCAGGGAATCAGTTTGAGAGTGACAGCAGCTTCTAATCCTGTTTTCAGTTTAACTCTGGGGCTTCCTTTTTATTGTTCATGTATGGAATTTGCCTTTAAGTCTCTAAAGTTGAATTCTTCTGTGTTACAACAGACTGGACGAGCACTTGTTGGAAACTGATTCACTTTAATTGTGTGAATAAAACATGATCTTTCTCAGTGTGGGAGTCAGAGTCAGATGGCTTTCCACCTTTGTTTTATGCTCAGAGTCTAATGAAGACGTAAACAGCCGACTGCAAACTGAGAAAGTACAGTAAAGCTTTGATTGAATGCACACTTTGTTCAGGTTTTATCTTATTTCTGTTCCTCACAAGCAAATATTCATCTGTTATAAAATGAGAAAAAGCTGATATTTGTGATAGTTATCGATTTATTTATTTGAAAATCAGCAGATCAATACACAACCAACACTTGAATTTTCTTCAGTCAGAAATAAAACTGTAACAAATATTCTTCATTTACACCAACATGGAGATCATTTATTTTTATAGTAGCTGGATTTTGGAGATTTATATCAATCAGAAGTAAGATGTGATTTCAATAAACAGATTTGTGTTTTTGATGCAATAATATAAACTTTCACAATATGAGAAAACACAACAAATATATACATGCACATAATCTTAATTATTACCAATGACATGTAAGATTGGAGCTCATTTTATATTTTGCTGATTCATTTTATGTCAATAGAATAATATAACAAGGTATTAAAATGTTCTGGTGTTCAATGTGTAACCAATGTTCACTGACTTCTCACCAAAATCCAGATATTTCAGTAACTTTAAGTAACTCTGTTCAATATTTTCATAATAACAATGGATTAAATATCAAAATGTAGGGATAGATATATATTTTAAAAGATAGCAGATATATAATATTGCTCTAATATTAATGATTCCAAAATATATTGTGGAAATTAACTGCAACTCTCCATCGTTCCACAAGGTGCAAAGAAAGAAATCAATTGAAGTAAGTTTCAATCTACAGTTATATTGACATTGTGTCTGACAGTGGAGCTGATCTCAGAGCAGTTCAGACTGCAGCACTGAGAGTCATCTCCACTGGTTGTGATTCCTCTGTCAGTCACTGCTGGATGAAGCTCTCCTCTCCACTCTACCTCCCAGTAACATGGCCCAGTCAGAGCTGATGCTGCTGCTTCAACCTCTCTGGATCATCAGGACACAGCTGATCCTCCAACACAACCTCCTTCCTCACCACTCACACTCTGACACAGATCACCACTTCCAGCTGATGAGAGAAGAAGACAAACAACAGAAGTCATAAATCAGTGTTTACAGAGACTCCCTCCATCAGCACATCCAGTATAAAGACCAGCAGGGACTTCAGTCCAGTTCAGACCAGAAGGTGAGCGGCTGTGTAGCGTAGCCTGCTTCCTTTCAGCTCTCATGTTAACGTATTGGAGTGAACACACTGAGCTGAAGCTCAAAGACCTGCAGACACTTTGGACATCAAGTCTGTTGACTCTGCAGATTTCACTGAAGTACACATATAATATATATATATAATATAATAAAGTGCTGAGAGTCCCTGAACGCATCATTACTGCAGAAACAGAGAGACATTCACTGCCCACTGTAATGATGGATTTACTGCTGTTTGGGTTCAAAGCTGATAAAAACCACAGTCTCAGTCACATTTGAATGTTTCATCTGCTTTTGAAATCTTACAGGACAGATCTGTAAATATGGAGTCTGTTTAAAATAATATAAAACATATTTGGACTAAACAAAAGACAAATGGACAGATATATATCTAATGTTAAAGGTCCTACATGTTCAAACAAAGACTGAACAATAGCTGTGATTACTGGACTTCAGTAGAGGTTCTGGTTTGTACAAAGACCACATGGTCACTAAATATAATGATGGTTCTTCGAAATAACATCCAGTGGTTTGCAGGCTTCAGTCAGACTGATCTTAGAGCTGTGACAAAGATGAACTGATCAGTTGTTTAGTGTTGAAATGAGAGAACAAACACTTTGAGATCAGATTTGATGAATGAGGACCACTGTCTCTGTACATCTTGTAATGCTGTCAGCTGGAATCCAGCTTTATTTCCTGTAGACATGAAGACAACAACAACAGTCGTCTTCACATCAACTCAAACACATGATCACAACAAGCTTCTGGTTCTCTGATTGGCTGACTGTTCTCTCTCTCTCTGTCTTTCTGTCCAACCCTGAAGTCTGTCACCATCCTCCTCTCACAGCTTCACTGAGGAAAGCAGCAAATACTGGATCTTTGCTTTGATACTAACTGTGTTTAGTACAATACTGCTGAAACCAGCATGGACTGACTCCAACCCTCTACTGACCTCAGAGTCTCCAGTCTACAGTGTGGACTCTCCACAAGATCAGACAGCGGCTTCACTCCTGAATCCTGCAGCTTGTTGTCACTCAGGTCCAGCTCTCTCAGATGGGAGGGGTTGGACTTCAGAGCTGAGACCAGATAATCACAGCTGATCTGTGACAAACTGCAGCCACTCAATCTGAATAAAGAATAAAAGATGTGAGTTTAGAAGACAATGTTCCTGTTTTAATCATTCAGTGTTTAATAATCTGTTCAGAGCTGAAGAAGGTTTAGAATGTACAAGTTTAGAAAATGTGAACAAAAGACATCTACAATATTTCTTTTAGGAATAGTGGAGTCATAAAATCAAATTATCTTCAGTTTAAACTATTCAGTCAGTATAAACATCATATAGCTTCATAACAATGTTGGAAAAAACAAATACTGAATATATTTGTTATTGTCTGATAGTTGAAATAGAGATTATTTATTATTTATTTATTATATTTGTGTATTTTTTTAAGTATAATTTATTTTAAAACTAATATAAATAAAGATTTTAGATCATGGATTTTTCTTGTTATATTCAGGTTTTAAATGTGGAGCTCAACATTGCTCTGCCACAGTCAATAGACTAAACCACTGAAGAAGAAAACAGACTTTAGCATTAGGATACTCAGTGTGGATCAGTATAATATCAGCCTTATGTCTGCACTTTACTGTCAGCACAACTTTCACATCATATTAATCCCAGCACATAAGGAAAAAATGGTGTCTGACCTCAGAGTCTCCAGTCTACAGTGTGGACTCTCCAGAAAACCACACAGCAGCTTCACTCCTGAATCCTGCAGCTTGTTGTTACTCAGGTCCAGCTCTCTCAGATGGGAGGGGTTGGACTTCAGAGCTGAGACCAGATAATCACAGCTGATCTCTGACAAACTGCAGTCACTCAATCTGAATAAAGAATACATGATCTTAACTTTATAGGACAATGTTAATTTGTTATCATTTGTTAAAACACATTAAAAGACAACAGAATCCAAAGAAATATTTCTCCTTCAGTAAACTTGATCAGTTTAAAACAAATATTAGTTCAGAGGATCTTCTGTATCCAGATGTGACCATTTACCAACAATTATAAACATTCATTTACTTTAACAACTAACAGTGGACATTTTCTACAGTTTCTTTAACAAACACAAGTCTTTGTGACTGCAGACTAAATTTAGTTCAACAAACATTAAAATATGAACAAAAGGAAATTTACAACTTTATGGATGTAAGTTATGTATGAACATAAATTAGGTTCAATTGTTAATTAAACATATCAGATCTACAACAGTAACAGAGAGTCAGTGAACTGACCTCAGAGTCTCCAGTCTACAGTGTGGACTCTCCAGAAAACCACACAGCAGCTTCACTCCTGAATCCTGCAGATTGTTGTTACTCAGGTCCAGCTCTCTCAGATGGGAGGGGTTGGACTTCAGAGCTGAGACCAGATAATCACAGCTGATCTCTGACAAACTGCAGCCCCTCAATCTGAATAAAGAATAAATGATAAAAATCCATTTATAATCCAGTCAGATGTGTTCAGGTTTTAATGTGTAGCTCAACATTACTATGTCCTAATCAATGAGCTTTTCTCTTAAATGAGCAGAGTGACTTTGTCATTGTGTTATTGTGGATCTTCATATTGTCAGCCTTCTACCGACACAATACTTTAGATATTTGTTATCAGAATCAGAATAATGTTCATTGCCAAGTAGGTTTTTACACCTACGAGGAATGTGTCTTGGTGCATTGATGCATAAAATATACAAATATACAAATCACAGAAAATAAAGTACTTTCAAAATATAAATAAATAAAGACAAGAAAGATAAGAAAGAAAGAAAACTGTGCAGAAGACGGGAGTGCATTAATGTAATGCATACTGTATATACAGGGTGGGTATAAGAGTCAGTGTCAGTAGGGGGTCGGGGCCTTGTTAATGAGGCCAGCTGCAGATGGGAAGTAACTGTTTTTGTGGTGAGAGGTTTTGGTCGTGATGGACCGTAGCCTCCTACCAAAGGGAAGTGTTTCAAAGAGTTTGGGTCCAGGGTGGGAGGGGTCAGCCACAATTTTGCCTGCACGACTCAGGGTCCTAGAGGCGTACAGGTCCTGGAGGGATGGCAGATTGCAGCCGATCACCTTCTCAGCAGATCGAATGATACGCTGCAGTCTGCCCTTGTCCTTGGCAATGGAAGCAGCGTACCAGATGGTGATGGAAGAGGTGAGGATGGACTCGATGATGGCGGTGTAGAAGTGCACCATCATCGTCTTGTTATTATAAATACACCAGAGTTTTGCTGTAATTCCATATCTGTGCAATTAGGTTGTAGTGACCATAATCTCATTGCAATTGTAAGGAAAACAACATTTGCTAAATGTTGTCCAAAAATAGTTAGGAAAATATAATGTGGGGGTTTTAATGAGGACAGATATAAGGAAGATGTTAACAATACTAACTGGTCAAAGGTGTTCTTAGAAGAGAACCCTGAAGGAGCATTTCAGACTTTCAATGACACAATTGTAGACCATCATGCACCATTAACAAATGTACAGGAAAGGGATCAAACTAAATTAACAGCAATTTCATCTAGTTTTAGATCGGATTGGTAAATATATTGCAAATTAAGGAATTTTGTAACAAAATTAAATAAGAAGAAAAAGAAAGGGTATTTTGATAATAGAATAAATGAGTGAGTAAGTAAACAATTATGGAATATTTTGAACTCCCTATTGAGAGGAAATACTAAAGCCACCCCATGTTATTTAGAAACCGGAGGGGAATTTATACTAAACCAATAGATATAGCAAATCATCTAAACAGTTATTCTATAAATAAGATTGATAGGTTAAAACTACCACCCAGCCTAAGAATACAGATTTATCACATATATTAATAGATCATATTATGCAAGGCAAAAAATGTAACTTTGAGTTCAAGGATGTTAGTGTTGCTAAAATTGAATCAATGTTAATGCCTTAAAAAAATAAACCACCTGGTGTTGACAGTCTTGATAGCAAATTTATACAGCCTATAACTTCATTGTTTGCTCCTATGGTCATGCATATTATTAATCAGTGTTTCAGTGAAAAGTTATGCCTACAACCATGGAAGATTTCCAAAGTGGTGCCGATACCAAAAAATTAGGAAGTTGCAGTTTTCACCTATAAGTTTATTACCAATCTTAAGTAAGACAACAGAAAGAAATGTATGTGAGCAGATCCAATCTTATTTTTTAAATAATAATTTAATCACTAATTTCCAACATGCATATAGAGAAAAACATTCGACAGCCACTGCCTTGACTCAAATGGTTGATGACTGGCTTGCGGAAATTGTACAGAGAAAAATTAAAAGTTAAAGTAGTTTTGCTTGATTTTTCTGCTGCTTTTGATTTCATTGATCATGAGTTCAGGTTGAAACTAAAATCATATGGTTTTTCTCAGTCTCCACTATTATGGAAAAAAAGCTACTTGAGCGACAGAAGGCAAATGGTGTACTTTAATGGAAGTTATTCAAATGTTAAAAAAGGTTAAGAAAATGGAGTGCCTCAAGAAAGTTGTCTTGGTCCACTCCTATACACGATTTAAGATAAATTCAATCTGAAGGATTAATATCAATGATCAGATGTTATTAGTGTAATAATGTATAATAATAATAATAATAATAATAATAATAATAATAATAATAATAATAATAATAATAATAGAAATGTATATATGTTTTTGTCATATTTGCTGAAACTTTCACTACATCTTTCTAGTATTAAGGGTTTGGGACCTAAAGTGTCCGCATTTGACAACCTGTGAATGAGACTCAACTACAGACTTTCTCGGCTGATTGTTTTTGTTCAGGCCAGGTGGATTCTTGCAAATTCCATTAGGAGCATATATAGATCATCCATCTCATGTACTTCTGTCAGGATGCAGTGAAAGTTTCAGCAAATATGACAAAAACAAACTACAATAGTAACAGTGTCAGTGGACTGACCTCAGAGTCTCCAGTCTACAGTGTGGACTCTCCAGAAAACCACACAGCAGCTTCACTGCTGAATCCTGCAGATTGTTGTTATTCAGCCACAGCTCTCTCAGATGGGAGGGGTTGGACTTCAGAGCTGAGACCAGATAATCACAGCTGATCTCTGACAAACTGCAGTACCTCAATCTGAATAAAGAATAAATGATGTAACTCTAGAACCTTTGATGAAGAAAACAGACTTTAGCATTAAGATACTCAGTGTGGATCAGTATAATATCAGCCTTATGTCTGCACTTTACTGTCACCACAACTTTCACATCATATTAATCTCAGCACAGAAGTAAAAAATGGTGTCTGACCTCAGAGTCTCCAGTCTACAGTGTGGACTCTCCAGAAAACCACACAGTAGCTTCACTCCTGAATCCTGCAGCTTGTAGTTGTTGCTGAGGTCCAGCTCTCTCAGATGGGAGGGGTTGGACTTCAGAGCTGAGACCAGACAATCAAAGCTGATCTCTGACAAACTGCAGCCACTCAATCTGAATAAAGAATAAATTATGCAGATAAAAATCCATTTATAATCCAATCAGATGTTTTCAGGTTTCCAACGTGTAGCTCAACATGACTATGTTTTAATTAATGAGCTTTTCTCTTATATGAGTAGAGTGACTTTGTCATTGTGTTATTGTGGATCATTGTAATAACATAATAACACATAATATAACAGACATCATCCTAATGTCAGCACAACATTCATACATCTATTCATGTCAACACTGATCACATGCTGATCACATGCTGCTGATCTCAGGTTCATTATGTTGCTTAAGGACACTTAGACATGTGAACAGGAGGAGCTCAAGTTTCAAACCACAAACCTTGTGATTAATGACTGACCATGTTGATGTGCTTTGTCATGCAAAATGCAAAGAGTCTTTTTATCCAATTATTCTATTTTTAGTTTTTATTTATGTTCATGATTACTGGTTGAGTCCAAACACAAAGTGACATAATTTTCTGGATGTTGAAATGTCATTGACAGAGCAGACATGATACTTCAAACACTTGCATTTAGAAATATGCTTCACAATGTGTACTACTGTATGTTAGTTTCAGGGTGTTTCTGACAGAGAGAAGGGTCTTATGTGTAAATGTTCCTGTAAAATACAAAAAGTGTTCAGATGGTTATGTATAAAATGACATTTTGCATTACACTGTAGAATTAATCCTTTCTTAACATTAATCCAATCTGAGCACATAAATTTGGACCCAAACTGTTCAGACTGACAAACTTTAAAGAGATTTATACTCAGACAAAACCAGAAGACAAGGAAACCAAAGGAAATTTAAAACTTCTTTTATGCATTTAAATTTGGTAGATATACATTATACAAGGGCAAAATACAAGAACTGACCTCAGAGTCTCCAGTTTACAGTTTTTACTCTCCAGTCCAGCACACAACAGCTTCACTCCTGAATCCTTTAGGGTGTTGAAGCTCAGGTCCAGATCTCTCAGATGGGAGGGGTTGGACTTCAGAACTGAGGCCACAACTTCACAGTGAGTGTCTGAGAGTCCACAGTAAGAAAGTCTGTGATGACAGAAAATATAAAACATATATTGTATTACACAAAAGGTATAATAAAATCTGTCAAGTTCAGAGTTGAACAGTTAAATAATAGTTCTTCTCTGAGCTTGGTGATGATGAAATCCGTCCACTGAACTGAACCTACTGAGCTCACACAGAGAGAGGTTCCTTACTGTTTAGAATTAAAAACAAATTCTAATTTAGCAAAATCTGCAAATATATTACTTTTTATTAACTAAACAACAATATACAGTGTCTGATAAAAAACATAACATAACATAACAATAAACAGACACATTATAGAAACATAGACACTGTAAACACTGTACAAAATAAAGACTATTATGATAAAATGATGACTGTCTAAATATTTTCAGTTGTATCAACCCTCCATCACCCACAGAAAGATAGTTAGATGGTAGAGGATACTTAATCACTAAATGGACATAAACACAAAAATTATTTCTGTCGACATCTGCCGTTTAACACAAGTAGAATTATATAAATAAACAGGTTTAATACTAGTTTAATCCAATCCAATCCAATCCAACTTTTTTTGTTAAACACTTTAAAGTTGGATTGGATTGGATTGGATTAAACTAGTATTAAACCTGTTTATTTATATAATATTTAAGAAAACCTTTAGAGTGTGGAGGTTTTATATTGTTCATCTGTGTAAAGTGTGTATCTTTACTCTAATACTGACGGCTTCAACTTTACATTGATTTATAATGTTAATCACATCTGGACTTACTGAGCCTTTCTGCAGTTCCTCACAGCTGGAATCAGTCTCTGTCGTCCAGGCCATGATGTGTTGTACTTCTTCAGGTCCAACTCATCCAGAACCTCCTCTGACATCTGCAGCATGTAGGCCAGAGCTGAGCAGTGGATCACAGAGAGTTCCTTCTCTGATCTGTTCTCTGACTTCAGGAACTCTTGGATCTCCTGATGGACTGAGTGGTCGTTCATCTCCATCAGACAGTGGAAGATGTTGATGCTTCTGTCAGGAGAGATATCATCACTGTTCATCTCCTTCAGGTTGTTGATGGCTCTCTGGATGATTTCTGGACTGTTGTCTGTCTGACCCAACAGGCCTCCTAAAAGTCTCTGGTTGGATGTCAGAGAGAGGCCATGAAGGAAGCAAACAAACAGGTCCAGGTGGCCATTTTTACTTTTAAGGGATTTCCCAATGGAATCTCTCAGAAAGACATCCAGGGTTGAATTCACAAATTTTTGACCCAAGAAAGCTTCCAGTACCTTTGTGTTCCTGTTGTTGTAACAGTGGAACATGTAGACTGCAGCCAGAAACTCCTGAATGCTCAGATGAACAAAGCAGTAGACTGTTTTCTGGAAGATCACACTCTCTCTTTTGAAGATCTCTGTACAAACTCCTGAGTACACCGAGGCGTCTGTGACATCTAGACCACACTGCTCCAGGTCTTCTTGGTAGAACATGATGTTTCCTTTCTCCAGCTGTTCAAACGCCAGCCTCCCCAGCTTCAGAAGAACTTCCCTGTCAGCCTCCATCAGCTCCTGTGGACTCTTCTTATGTCCCTCATCATACTTCTGCTTCTTCTTCTTTGTCTGAACAAGCAGGAAGTGTGAGTACATGTCAGTCAGGGTCTTGGGCAGCTCTCCTCTCTGGTCTGTAGTCAACATGTGGTCCAGAACTGTAGCAGTGATCCAGCAGAAGACTGGGATTAGACACATAATGTGGAGGCTCCTGGAGGTCTTGATGTGTGAGATGATTCTGTTGGACAGATCTTCATCACTGAATCTCCTCTTGAAGTACTCCTCCTTCTGGGCGTCAGTGAAGCCTCGTATTTCTGTTACCCTGTCAACACATTCAGGAAGGATCTGATTGGCTGCTGCAGGTCTGGAAGTTATCCAGACGAGAGCCGAGGGAAGCAGATTCCCCTTGATGAGGTTTGTCAACAGCACGTTGACTGAGGACTTCTGTGTGACATCAGATACAGCTTTCTTGGTCTTGAAATCCAGTGAAAGTCTGCTTTCATCCAGGCCGTCAAAGATGAACAAAAGTTTACAGACAGCGAGCTGCTCTGCTGTGACCTTCTGTAATGTTGGATGGAAAACATGGAGCAGCCTGAGAAGACTGTACTGCTCATCTTTGATCAGGTTCAACTCCTTGAACGAAAGCAGAACCACCAGACTGACATCTTGGTTTTCCAAGCTCTCTGCCCAGTCCAGAGTGAACTTCTGCACTGAGAAGGTTTTTCCAACGCCAGCGACGCCGTTCGTCAGAACCACTCTGATGTGTCTCTGTTGGTCAGGTAAGGCTTTAAAGATGTTGTGGCACTTGATTGGAGTGTCATGGAGGGTCTCCATCTTGGAAGCTGTCTCAAGCTGCCTGACCTCATGTTGGGTATTAACCTCTTCACTCTGTCCCTCTGTGATGTACAGCTCGGTGTAGATGCTGTTAAGGACGGTTCCACTTCCTGTTTCATCAGTTCCTTCAGTCACATGTTTACATCTCGTCTGCAGACTGATCTTATGTTCATCTAAAACCTCCTGCAGACCACTATCTGCTGAAAGAGAAGAAGCATATTCTGAGACAGTTTCTTTCCATCTGCAGCTGGCCTCATTAACAAGGCCCGGATCCCCCACTGACAATGACTCTTATACCCACCCTGTATATATGCATTACATACATTTATATTTTAAAAGTACTATTGATTTGTGTGATACAGGGGCGGACTGGGACAATAATTCAGGCTGGGAATTTGATACCATCCCAGGTCACCTGTTATGTTACAGCACTTCGCTGATCTGTGGCCAGTGCTTTTAGCTTTTTAAGCCTCTCCCTCTCTGCTCCACCTTTCCTCTTGGGCTGTTGATCTCGCTCCATTTTTCAAGCATGTAGAACTACAGGTACGGGAGGAGGGAGGAGGGAGAGAGGAGGGGGCGGGTGCGCTAGTTGGTGTGTGTGTGTGTGTGTGTGTGTGTGTACCTGCAGTGCTGTGACAGAGTGCCTCAGAAAAAGAGAGGAGGGTGTGCGTTTGTGCCCAACGTTGCTGCTCAGTCTGTGTGAGCTTCAGTGAGGCAGATACTCTAACGAGCCGCACGACGGATTGTTTATTTCAAAATCAAGCGCGACCCGAATCGAGCCTTTGGTCCCGACCATCGGCAATCGACCAGCTCGGCGGCCAGGCCACCGGGAATTGTCCGCCACTGCTGTGATTTGTATATTTTTGTGTGATTTGTATATTTTTGTGTGATGTGTAGGCTATATTTTATGCATCAATGCACCAAGACAAATTCCTCGTATGTGTAAACCTGGCAATAAACCAAATTCTGATTCTGATTCATAACACAACAAATGTCCCTGTACTAGATTATAAAGTCCTGTTTTCAGACATGAGGACATCAGCAGACAGTTTTTGTTTACTTAGAATGAACTGTTTTTATCTACAGACGCTGTGGGTCGCCTTCCATTGAGTCCGCCATGTTTCTACAGTAACATAGAAGGGACAAACGTTTCACTGCCACCAGAGGTTCGTCTTTGTACTTGGAACTGCAACTGCACTGCTAGATGTCACTAAATCTACCTACTGGACCTTTATATAGTCTTACTTTGTACCGTGCTGGTCTGACTGGCTGTCTGCAGTCCAGCTCTTGTTCTGGATCTTTCTCCACACTGGGGACAGGAGGAGTCTCCTGATGAAGCAGACTGGTCCCAGTATGAGGTGATACACTGTCTGCAGAACCAGTGTCCACAGCTGGTAGAGACTGGATCCTTCAGGACGTCCTGACACAAAACACAGCAGGACAGCTGCTCCTCCACAGAAACATGACTCCTCTTCCTCTCTCTGTGAAGACATTTCTTTATTACTAAAATTCATCCGACACTGTCTGGAACCTCAGATGGTCGCAGAGAACATTAAAAGTGTTGTTGAATCTGATTAGAAACCACAATTATATTTCAATGTAAAAGGTGTGTTGAGGTTTTACTATAATATCTGAGATATTGTTTTCTTGATCAGACAACAATCTGCTTTAAAACATGTCACAGCAGCTGCAACCTGAAGACATTGACGGTGGAGATCAAACTTTTTTCATTCTTGATGAAGATGTTTAACCTCTGCCTTCTGTAATAGTACCACACATATTTGAATTATGGATGAATGGAGCGTAAACTTGTCTACTGGATATTTTGGAAGTGATTGACCAAATTGTGCAAAGAGACAAATGGAAAAGGATTTCAGACTAGCAGTGTTGGGAATGTGTCCCTGAGATACTGTAACTCCAACTATATTGACAGATGAATCCTTTCTTTGTAAAAATAAACCATCAAATACTTAAATTAAAATAGAACATAAATCCTATATTTGTGTCGCTTATCTCTCATTAAAATACCTACTCTCTCTCCTATAAGACTTGGAAGCAGGCAGAATGATTTTCTACGGTAGTTTGGCAGCATTCAGACTGTATCTTGTATAATTACTGGCTGTTTAACAGTTCATTTGATCTGTTTGCAGTAAGTGTCGGGAGATGCTTTCTGTTTGACTTTTGTGACAACAAAACACGTTACAAAAGTCATCAAAAACTCCTTAAGGTTAAACTGGGCTAACTAAACAATTTTAGTAAAACAGCCGGACTGTGAATGGACTTAAAGTAACTCACTAGCCAACATTAAGGCTACAAACTACCCATAATGCAACTGTACTCTGTGTAGGAGCCACTGTCATACAGGTCCATTTAATGTGATGATGCTGTTAATGTGTAATTGTCTAATCATTGACTTTTATGAAGTACACAATTTTTCAAAGGTAATTTCCTGAATAATATTGTATATTTGGGCATATACAATCATATAATGGTGATAATATAATGATATAAACTGAAGTTAGTGTCAGTTCTCTTACTGTGAGTCTGAGGGTTCAGGTTCATTACTGAATATTGGAGGATATTCTTTAGACCGGTCGCTCTTCATAGACAGACAGCTGGACATTGGAGACTCTGCTCTCTGTTGGTGGTACTGACTTCTGGAAACAACAAAACGTTTTTGTTCATTTCATGTGAATCAGTGTGAAATTATTAAAAATACACAGTTCTTAATACACATATTGCTGTTACTGATAGTTTGTTGGTTAAACAGTAACTGGTAGTTCTCTTACTGTGTGTCTGAGGGTCCAGGTTCATTACTGAAGTCTGGATTATATTCTTTAGACCAATCACTCTTCATAGACAGACAGCTGGACACCGGAGACTCTTTCTCATACTCTTCCTCCACACAGTCACTCATCTTCACTTCAGAGGTTGTTGAGACAAATATGTAGTTAATTTAAGTCGTACAACATGAAGACAAGGAAAATAAACAGGTGAAACAGGATGCAAAGGAGGAGCTAGTTGAGTAGGCAAGTCAGAAAAGTTTTATAATGTTTCATGTTTAATTGTTAATTCAATACAATTATTTTTCTGGAGTCATTTCCTTGAATTTTTTACAAAAACAACTGGGTTTCAACTTTTAAATGTTATAGGTTCTTTGTTTCAGTGACCCTGATGCTTTTGACCAACATTTATTACAATAAGGGCGTACAGTTCAATAGAGATCATAAAACAGATGTTTGGTGTTTTTATGACTTTTATCCCTTCATAAATTCATATATTCCATCCACAATATATAATTTTTATATAATGTTTGTTTTGTGAGTAGCATAAAGAGAAATACAACTTGATCCTATTATAAAACCCAGTGTTGTAAAATGATAAATATACCTCTTACTTTTAATTGAGGCTGTACTAAGTGATAACAATTTACTGCTTTGTCAGGTGTATCTGTGATGGACAAAATATTGTCAATAAAATTCAATAAAACAAAACCACCGGGTATGACTGTGAGCACATGAATCGTGAGAAACAAGTGTGTTAAAGTGTCTCACCAAAGACTGAGCAAAGAGGAAGTAAACACACACAGACTATACAGTATAATGAATCCATCCAACACCTGGTCAGTTTTCACTATATCTGTGCATGTCTTTTGGGGTTAGCGTTGAGTGAAGTATGTGAACCTCTGGAGCATTTTGGAGTTTTCTTTCAAAAAAATCTTGAGGTTAAACTTGACCTTTGACCCCTTATTAGAAGTTCAGGTAGTCTGCCTTTGCAATGTCTGCATAATAATATGGGGTAAAAGGCGAAAGGTGTTAACTTCCATTTGACCACTCCTTTGGTTAACTGATCATTATATAGAATCAGTAGATTATAATCATGATGATATTAATATAAAATATAGTGATCAAAGCACAACTGGGCTAGCAGGTTGGTTTTGTTTGTCAAGTACTGAGTTAGCTAACAAGTACTATTAGTAGATTGCCCATTTATCCATATATTTCTTGTAGTTAACTAAATCTTTCATCCTTTGATTTCGGTGTTTGGGTTTCAAAACCACCAACATTTTAAAACTGCATCCAAGCTACTGTGAATTCTGTGTTGATGTTATAGTTTTATACCCCACTTTTGTTAAAAGACAACAAAACTGACTCAATTGTGTGGTGAGACTAATATAAAAATCAATTGTTGGTATCTGTCAAAATTATTGCAGCCGAAGTCAAGAATAAATCTCAAAGGACCTGAGATTTTATTTTCATTAAAAAACTATTAAAATCACGATACACATTTTTTTTTGGGGTCAGTACCAAAATCTAATGAACAATATTTGTAGTCCAGGACATCTCTTCAGAGCTAAATTACTTTATTATAGGGCAGTTTGTCACCTTTTACCTTTAAAAATTGCAGCTTCTGCTACAATTTTGATAATGTTCAATTCGATTCAATATTTAATTTTTTTCTTTGTACAGCGCCAAATTATCTCAGGACATAATATTGTTATTAATTGTGCAGCTCTACTCTGGTTGACCTGCATGGGTTCATTATGGTAAGACTAAATTAACCCGGTTTGATCTGTTTCA